CATTATAATTTTGTCCCAGCTGGTGGGTTTATATTGCGTAGGACAGTTGCGTAGGACATGCGCAGTTTTACCCGACATTTATCCCGGTTTGCAGGTCGTGCTCGGTGCACGGCGCTGTGCTCTGCTGCGCGTATGTGCTGTGCCGGCCCTGTCGGGCCTTGGACGGCGCCTGCCCCGGCCCGGCACCGGCCCGGCGGACGGAACGTGCCTTGCATGGAGTGGGCGGAGACTTGAATGCATGAGAGAGTCGCCCTGCTCCACACCAGAAGGCGGCTCGGGCGCTGGCGGTCCCGGCGCCCGGCCCCGGCCCCGGTCCCCTCCGTGATTCACTTGAGCGACTCGAACTAGCCCGCCGCCGCCCCGGCCTACCCTGCCAAACATGTTTAGAAACAAAAAGGACTCGTGCGTTACGTGATGTGTCACCCTAGACGGCCTCGGTTAAATAGATCCGTCCCCGCTCGATACTCTGTGGAATTTATCCGCTGTTCAAAATAGAAACGCATCGAGGACCGAGATATGCTCTCCTCGTCTCGTCACTCCCCCTCCCCCTAAAAAAAGGAGTCGAAAATAAAGAAATCGACTCAGGTGCTCTCGGCGTGGGTCGCCTAGACGATGACGCCAATCCGAGCCGAGAAGCTCTTTGTTTTCCTGCCCCGTTGCTCTCCCTCTCTGTCCGCCTTGGTCTCCGTCTTGTCTTCTCCCCTTTCGGAACCGGTCCCCCGCCTCGCGGTGGCCCAGCTTTGCGCCCCAAGAGTTTCGCCCGGCATGGAAGATTTTTTCGCGCAACGCGAAGCGCGCGTTTCGGTTCGGTCCCGGGACCGCAAAACCGCGGAATAAAAGGCACCCCGAAAACCAAACTTTGCTGACGAGAACCTGCTTTATTGGCCAGTTTATGCAGCGGGGCGTTTATCTCAAACTCGTCGAGAATCACCGGGGATCAAATTTGCGATTGTGATTTAAAAGTTCTCTCGTTGCGGTGTGCCGGCGCTGCCGGCTTGGCGTGGCTTTCAGCGCGCCTGGCAATTACACACTCACTTGCTCGACGGCGCCCTTGGGGTGACCCACGCTGTGCGCCGAGCCGGCGTGGCGACTTCCGCGACTGTACCAGCGTCACCCGCCCATTGGGGCTCCATAGCGACTCGAGCAGCTCCGGGTGGTTCATTCCAGCAAGTTCCACAGACTGCCAACAGTTCCAAAACGACCTCCAAGAGTTCCAGCGGTTTTCTTTCGGTTCCCGACTGAAGTTATGTTCCCGCACTTCTTTATCCGCTTCTCAACAGTTTCGGCCCCCCGGTACCTAGTTTCCATCGCTCCCATACAGCTCCTTCCAGCGCTTCCAGTATTTTCTTCGGCTGCCCACAGTTCCAGCACGCCCAGCAACAGCGGCCGGCAGGAGCTCCTCTCCGCCGGGCGGGAGCACTTTCTTACCTCTATCTCACCGCGGCCGGCCTGGGCGCAAACCGGCCCTCGGCGCCGGCCGACGGGCGTTAAATTGTTACTGGGACGTTTTACTGGCGTTTCCTAACTCGCCGGCCTGCTCGTCCTACGCGGGCGGGAGGCATAGGGAGGGAGGGAGGTGGGGAGGGTGGTGGTGGGGGTCGTGGAGCAAGCAGAGATCCTTGTCCTCTCGGGGGGCGGGCGCCGCAGCCAGCCGCAGCCTGGCCCACTCTGGGACTATACCAAACGGGTTTTGGTGATTTGGCTCGTGTGTGAGTGACACACACACACACACACATCTGCGGATATTTGCACGCGGACCGGCGGTGCCAGCCGGATGGTACCACACGGTGCCAGGAGGCCTTGGAGGAGCGCGCCTCGCCGCGCGATCATCTCAGCTGATTAGACCCCAAACGCAGCTAGCTACCTCCGCGGCTAGGGAATTCCCAGTTCCCAGAGCAGCCGGCACATCTCATCTGCCGGCGTGACGGCGCACTGCGGCCGCCTCGCGTTTAGCGGAGAATAAAAGTATCTTCCAAGCACGGCAAGGGATCTCAACTCAGCTGAGCAGTTGACGTAGCCAGCCATTGCGACTGTGGCGGTAAAAACATAATCAAAGTTGTGGGAAAGTTATATTATATTGTGACTTTTCTCTCACAACAAACTACTTCTTGCTGGCTGATTGCGTTGTTAAAAAAATAATTCGAAAAACTTGAAGTTAAATCTAGCTTGAATCTCTCTAGATACATTGTGCAAGATAGAAAGAGAGAGGATAGATTGCGTTGGTGCGGGAGGAAGGTCCGAGCAGAGGTCTCCCTCCTGCCTTTTCTCAATCTCCGTTCGCCGTGTCCTCCTCCGTGGCCGTGGCTCGGCTGGATCGCGTGCGCACAGCAATGGTGCGGCGGTGTACCCAAAGCCTTTTTTTTATATTTTTTTGTTCGAGCCTGCTTGCCAGCTCACGGCGGGCCCACGGCCGGGTCAGCTCCGAGAGAAGCTCCGGTCTAGTTTCTGCCTTCACTCTGCAAGTTTGGCAGAGGTCATTGAGGACGGCGGGGCTCCGGCGCGGCTCGGCCTGGCGTCGTGATTAGAGCCGGCCTAATCGTTGGTGGTTTTGTGGGAACTGTCGGAAAGCCATTTAGAGCCGGACTCGAATTGAACGCGTTGGGCACGCCCCGTCCTGCAATCCACTTTCATTTTCTTTCTTTCTT